GGGGGGGGCAATGCATTTTGGATAAATCCATAACTTGTTTTAGCACCTTATTTTCATTTGAGGTCTATTGTTGATTAGGGCACTCATCATTACCAATGCTAAAAAAGGTTATATCCTCAGTTTCAACAATTATCTCCTTTAGATTATAGTTGTGCTAATTTGTTAAATACCATCATTTCTCTTTTGTTCCAAAAATTAATAAAATAGTTGGTCATAATTTTGAGTTGGTCATTATGATGTATGGAGACTTTGACTTTTTTTACTTAATAGATTTTTATATTTTGTCACTTTTGTGGATAATTTTTCTCATATGACATGATTTTACTTTATGAAATCTAGCTTTTAAGTTATTGTCACATTTTAAATAATATTGTGTTAAAATTAGAACTCAATTCAATGTTTCTGCTAAAATTCTGAAACTTTTGTGGATGATTTTCTCGTATGAATTGACTTTAATTTTTGAAATCTCAATATTAGTGTCGCATTTTAGAAAAAATTGTGTCGAAATTAAAACTCAATTCAATGTTTCTGTTAAAATTTTGAGAACTGACAATGCAAAGAATATTTCTCTCCATCTTTTCAAACATAAATGAAACGAAACAAGATGCTTCACCGGTCATCTTGGGTTAGTACTACATTGCAAAAATTGAGTAGCTAAAAGGAAAGGTAGACATTTTCTTGAGACAACTAGAGTATTTTTTTATTATTATTATTTTAAACTAATGTACTCAAACAGTTTTGAGTTAATGCAGTTTCTACTGCATGTTTTTTGAACAATTGAATGCTTTCTACTGTTTTATAGAACCAGATACATTACCTAGTTATATTTTCAAGCAATTATCTCTTTCTCATTGAACCATGTATATTTGGGTGTACTTATTTTATTTATGACACTCATCCACAATTTCTAAATTGGACCTTAAGTGATTAAGGTGTGTCTTTCTACGATAATCTTGTTTGTAAAAAAAGTATTGATATTTTTCCTCTCTTAAACAGGTACATGGTCTCTGTTAATGTCAATTTTCATGAACAAACATCATTCTTTGGTGACTCATCGCCGCCTAAATCCTCACAAGATTCTGATATGTTGTTAATAGCTCCACTTTCATCACCCACACCTCAAACTAGACCAACTATGACCAATATTTACTCAAGAAAATCTCATCCCCCTAATCCTAGTGTGGCACAAGTATTATCTTCTTCAGCGGATCATTCTCCTAGTAACCTTGATTTACCAATTGTTCTTCGAAAATGTAACAGTCAATGCACCTATCATATTTCCTATTGTATTAATTATGATCAATTGTCTTCTAGTATTTGCTCGTTTATTGCTTCTCTTGACTAGGGTTGAGGTCCTGAGATTTGTTTGGCAACTCCTATCCCATTTTGGGTGACGGACAACAATGTGATGAAATGAATGCCTTGATTGGAAATGGGACATGAAAAATAGTTGAACTATCATCTAGCAAGGAGGTTGTTGATTGTAAATGGGTCTTTACATTTAAGTTTCATTCTGATGGATTTGTAACTCGTCACAAAGCTCAGTTGGTTGCTGAGAGCTATGCTTAAATTTATGGTATTGGTTGTTTGGACATGCTCTCTCTGATAGCTAAGTTGACTTTGGTTCGCCTCTTCTTCGTTTTGGTTGCAATGACTAATTGACCCCTACACCAGCTTGATGTAAAGAATGTATTTCTGGCTTCAGCATGGTGATCTTTTAAAAAAGGTATATACATGAAGCAACCTCCTAGCTTTATTGTTCAGGAGGAGTCTGTGAAAGGTCACTATATAAGATTAAAGCAAAACCCTCGGGCAAGGAGAAAATTTTAGTCAAGCGATAAAAAAGTTTGGGATGCATAAGAGTAAAAGTGATCATGCTATATTTTACAAGCAATCTGCTTGTGAAATCATTCTGTTGGAGGTATATGTTCATGACATTATTATTACTAAAAGCGATGTGCAGAAAATCTTATCATTGAAATTTGAGTTCCTCGAAGAATTTATTGGGGATTGAGGTATCAAGGAGCAAGAATGATATCTTTTTATCTCAACATATGTACGTTTTGGATTTGTTGATAGAAATGAGAAAATTAGAGGCCAAATCATGCAATACTCTGATGCTTCCTAATCAAAAACTTACAAAAGATGGGGAGTCTTTTAATGATCCTCAAAGATATAAGAAATTAGTGGGAAAATTAAATTATCTCACAGAGACTCGCCCTAACATTGTGTATTTAGTTAGCACTACAATTCAGTTCATGTCTTCCCCACAGCCCATCAATGGTCAACTCTAGAACAAATGCTATATTACATCAAAGGAGTTCCTGGAAAAGAAATTCTATATCAAAATCATGGGCATACAAATATTTAATATTTCTCTAACACTGATTTGGTAAGTTCTATTGCTCGATATTGTGATTTTATTGGTTGTAATTTGGTCTCATTTAAGAGTAAGAAAAAAATATAATGTCATGATCCAGTGCAGAATATGAGTATTGAGCAATGGTACAAGCTTCAAGTGAATTGATGTGAGTCTCCCAACTCCTTACCGAAATGGGCTTTAAGATGACAGTTCCAACAAAGTTGTGTGATAACCAAGCTGCAATTCATAGTACTTCAAACTATGTCTTCCATGAAATAACTAAACACGTTGAGATAGACTGTTATTTTGTTCGTGAAAAGATTCAACAAAATTTGATTTCTAAAGCTCATGTAAAGACTGGGGAACAACTAGGGGACATATTCACAAAAGCCCTTAATCGAGCTAGGGACACTTATATTTGTAATTAGCCCGGTATGATAAATATACATGCTCCACCTTGAGGGGGAGTGTTATAAAAAATATTCAATGTTTACAGAATCTTCTTCTGTCCGAAGAAATGATTCATCGAAATAATGGTTATATATTAGGAAGATTATATATTAAATAACCTAATTAGAGAAATTCAAATTTCAGTATCTTTTCTATAATAGAAATATTCCTAATCTATAGAAATGAAATTGTAAATAAATATATATCATATGCCTTCAATGAAAGAAAAAAATAAAGTTTTCCCGTTGCAGTGATCAAACCATCTAAGGTGGCTCTCTCTAATCTTGTGTGCCACTAAGAGCTTTTCTAATGCTTTCTATCAAATTAGTGCATATGAAAAAAAAAAGATTCCAGGTGAGATTTTTAATGAGGAACCCATTTTTCCACCTAGTGATGAAATAAAGGTGTGTTTACATACATACCTTAAAATTCTTATGTATTTACTTATCTAACATCTAAAATTTCACACGTACATGCATAACACTCAAACTTTAATATTACATCAAAAATACCATTATTAATAAATTTTAAAAGCGAAATACACTTTTCATGCATAAGGTTTATGACGCTGAAGTATTAAAAAAATAAAAAACAAATTTTAAGTGTTAGATATGTAAATACATAAGAATTGTCAAGCATGTACGTAAATTTTCCTAAAATAAAAAAAGTTTAGATTATGACTAACTAAACGCTTGCACTGTCCTAATTCCAGGTTGATGGACTATTGTTGTCATGATTTTTCATTATCTCTTTTATTCATTTGAAATTAAGACATGAAAAAATATCATCAAATAGAGGAGGTAAGATGGTACTATGAGAGGATAAACATTAAAAGTTAGTAAAGTAAGAGAGTGAAAGATGTGTAAACGAAAAGGGAAAAATCTCATTGCTTGTGAATGAAAAACTGTGAACAACAACAATTAAAAAGCTAGTGGAATTTGAAGCAAGCATGATGGTGTATAAAGAAAGCCGCATTGCATTGTACCAAAAGAAAGTGTGCTCATGCCCAAGGGAAAGTATAGTGCTAGAAAATATTCATGTTGTTGTTAACAGGGATGAAAATCAATGTTCTTTGGATAGAAACTCATTCAAATCTCTTTTATAGCAAGTCTTTTATTAGCCTTCTCCCAACATAAAATGAAATGTGTTGAATAGGAACTATAATGTATATTTTTAAGTATATTGAAATTATTTCTAAACGGTCATGTATGTAGGAAAGTCAATCTCGCTGAAACTGCATGATTTCTTGTTTATAAAATAGTGACTTTAATGGGGTATCTATTTCCTGCAATTTTTTCTCATATTTTTTCCCCAATGATTCAAGTGATGGACCATAAAAATTACAATGCATTTTATTTTACTTTATTCCGAATAAATTCTTTATAGTTGAGAATTGAGAAAAGCCAAATAGGTAGATTGCAATATAATTTCACCTGAAACACAGGAACTCCATCAAAGCCTCTTGAACGATCTGCAGATTTTAACTAGAAATTGAAAAAGTTAACAGCATGCGTTGGAAATATATATAGAGAAGAGCAAGCAGCAATTATAAAGACATTGAAGTAACATAAAACACTGATATTTGCTTTAATATTAGCATTTTCGGTTTGCACGAAACATATGATATCTCGATCAGTCATCTTGAAACAGTAACTACTATTATATTGATATTCAAGAATAAACATAAAATTTGAATAAGAAACAAGAGAAATGTGTCTAATGCATGATGGAATATAGTTTCAATCGCACACCTCTAGTGCATTCTTTATTTGAAGAGGATCAGGAAGAAACCGAAACGCAATGCCTTCAACCTTCAGCAAATATACCTTAAAAAAGTATTTCAAAAGAATCAAAACATATCTATTACTCGTGGAAAATTCAAATGTTAAAATAGAATAGGGAAGATGCAGCAATAAGTAGCATAGTGAGATTGCTATTTTACTATGCTTGCAATTTGGATGGAATCAGATTGATAACATCTGAACTTTGCATGCAAATCGACTCAATTGTAATTGAAATAGAAACCAACATGAACAAAATGAAAATCAGGCCAGCATCAAACCACCATTTTAGATTTAGTTCTACTTCAATTATGAAGTCCAATTAGATTAACGGACATTGCATTATTCTATGTCATACGAATAAAAAAGATCCATTAACCTCTCCTACAAGCTCATAATAAATAATAAAATTGGCATAGTTCAACCTCATCAATTATATAGCAAGTCAAAAACAAATAAACAAAAGTAGCTTATACTCCACGGTTGTAATTGTTTGTGTTTTGAGACATTTTTATGAAAAAAATCAAGATAATGTACAGGCAACACTTTAAACTGTGTAAAACCTTTCTACTCTAGAAAAATTATCAAGGATGCATTTGGGCATTTGAGTCTTCATTTAATCTTTTGAAATAAAAATACATAACATTTTATTTTTTGGTTCGGGTTGATTCAGGGTTACTAGAGACCAACACTACACAAGGTACTACAAAAACTGGAAAGGATCACAATGGAAAGTCACCATAACCCCTGGCCTGACAAAATTGACACTTTAATAGCAAAAGTTCTGACAAGAATATTGACATTCAGCTGTGTTGTTGATGCTATGCACAGCTTACTTCTATAAATAAATTGCACTAATCAGAACATAATAAATTAGTTGCATCCTTCAAGACATGCACGAACTGAATTTTAAGTTTTATTAGATAACCAATGCCACAGCATATTAAATAACCAATGCCATTATATAACCATCATGCATGTAGGCATGTAGGACTGCATTCTACAACATTGATTGATAGTGTTCTAATTTTTTAAAAACATTACAAATTTGACTTGTGCGGGAAACACACAATAGCCGGCAAACCTTTCACATTTTCATAACCATAGAAAAAATAACTTTTTAAGTACCTTATTGATATAAGTTACATACAGTGACTTTATCGTGTATGAAATAACACGATTCTATTAATCAAAGTGCAATTAAGAGAGTCAGTACAAAATTTCTATTAACATATGACATTTTACCTTCCCTCTCATTCTTTATTTTTTCTACCTTTTTATTTTTGTTTTTGAAAAAAAAACAATAAATCTTGATAAACAATAGAATGCACGGCAGATAGGTTTCTTCACATTTTTGTGCTGCATGAAAAATGCCATAGAATTCTTATTCTAACACAAACTATTGCTCTGGCATGTGAATGATAGCACAAAAAATTTTAGAAATTCTTCACAGAGCATTATAAAATACCAAAACTACTTCCAAGATGAAATGTTGTTTTTACGTCAATAAAATGAAATTTAATTCATGTTATTCAGCAATTTCAAGTGCCTAGATAGGCATGCAGTCAGTTTGTAAGGAGGAACAGATAACAGTTCGGTAAGAATAGTTTCAATTTGCAAGCTTCACAGCAATGAATGGAAATATTGTGTTTGTCCACATAAAAACAAGAGAAAGGAAGAATTGTGATTTTCAGAAGCCCTATGTGACTCAGAAAAAGACAACATCAAGAAAAGGTATCTCATATCAGCAATCATTTTTCTATTATCTATTTCTATATATTTCAACATATAATGCGAACAAACTCATTTCAATAAATTTCAACATATATTTCAAACAAAGAGTCTGTAATCAATCAGAAACAGTAACCCTCTAACAAAATCCTGATTTAACGGATTTGCATCTTAGCAAGCATGCAAAACAACCATAATAAAACAGCATGATGGCATGAGCTAAAAATACAACAACAATGAATTATCAAATTTGCAGATTAATCTTCACAATTTTAGACATTCACCCATCCCAGAATTTAATTTAAAACATTAAATAAATTCCCCTTCCTGATCTGTCATAAAATAATTTAATTTAAAACATAAATTATCAAATATCCTTGGCTGCTATTTTTGCCTTCTTCATCTAAACATAAAATCTAATTAAATAGAATATCCTGACCTGTCATACATGCAACTTACAAAGCATAAACGAAGGCAAGGAAAAATCAGCAATATGACTGGCATGAGGTAAAACATTCAACATGTTACATTACCCAATTTGCAAATAAATCTTCACATCCTTCATCTATCACCATTCCAATGTTTAGATCGTATGAACGAAATCAGCCCACTCAAATCAGTATAAATATTCCTAGCAGCTAATGTTGCACTGTTAATCTAAGAAAATTAATCCAAATAGATTCTCTGGTGAGCGGCACGACATTGATATTGCAAATAAAAGCTATGCATGTAACTTTTCAGAACATCGGGAGGAAAGTAGAGAGAGTGACCTGATCGAGATTAATGGGAACCACCCTTGCCCCCCTTCCCAAAATCGGCTGCCGGAGCTGAACCTGAAGAACATCAATTCATATCTCCAATCATAATCTTGAATGAAGAAACCCCACCAAACAAAACAATAGAGCAGCCGAGTCTTACACCTGAGATAGAAGAGCCTGAGCATCCTCTTCCCGGAAACAGAGGAGGCTGATTGATCTAGCCCCATTGTGGGGGTCAGATACAAGGACGAACTCGTTATTGGCGTTACCGACGGTGTACACTGCCGTGCCCGTAAGTGTCCGCGAAATATAGTCTGTGCTCAGTGCGATTTCGAAGGCGTGACGCCCTTGCGCCGCCATGGATAGGGCAGCGAAAGGAAATTCCGCCGGAGAACTGATGGCGACGATGGCTTGACGATGAACGGCGGCTAATCGGGTGGAGAGGTCGGCACTGAAGCGGCAGAGCTGGTGGTGAAGAAAGGAGGATAGCGAGGCTATAGGGTTGAGAATTGGAGGAGGAGAGGAAGACGAGGAATCCATGGAAACAGCGGAGAGAGGAAACGTAACGGAAGAACCCGGCATCGTTCTTCCACTCCGTTTCTGCAATAGCAGCGTTCTACTTCAAGCGTCTTCGGCCAGTGTTTCCCGGTACATATGTAAATGTTCATTCACCCAAAATTTTTTATATTTACATTTCTCACGTCTAAACTTTTATAATTATAAATATCATATTGAAAATTAGCACTCATTATGACATTTTAATAGTCTCTATACGCTATAACTGTGAGCACAATACAAAGCATTTGAATGCACTTGCGACGGTCGGGTGGCCAAAAGATCTTACCGGCCTACTGTCATACAGGTGGTCAGGAATCGACTCACGTACTGTGGCGAGAGATTTCAACGACTAATTACGTCAACAGTCCCGATTAATTGGGGCGCATACGGGAATCATTGATCGCGGCTAATTAGTCGACTCGCATTTACCACAACGTACGAGATCAATACTCAAAATGGTAGTTGTTGATTATAGCAGTTGATGTATCATCAACAAACAAATTCCTTTAACCAACATGAATCTCAAGGCATTATACAAATATCGAGATAATCTCTTTAGCAATAACTCAAACTTCAATTAAGAGACATCCAGAGTTTTGATTTAAACAAATTTATACTCAAACTAACAGACTCGATGAGACAGATCCAAAAGTGATTCATATTTATGCATTAATTATATCCAAAATAATATAAATAGAGACTCACCCCTCTCGTGAGAGGTGTTAAATAAAGTGGAGCCCGGTCCACTATTCGTTTTTTGGAGAGTTATTGCAATTATGGATTATATTTAAATGTATTTAAATATATCCTTAATGCATTGTTGCTTTTTCTTTGGATTCTCAAATCAATTCTCCCGCAGTCCGCTTCTTCTGGATTCGCAAATAACCATTTCCTTTATGGGCCAAAAAGGTATGTCTTGATTGATGCTTCTAGTTCATCAATTAAAAGCCCATATCTTCCTAATTTAGGCTTAAGGTGTTGCTTACGGTTTTGGAATTAAAATTGCATGGCTCTCCCTCCTCCTTTGGGTGCTATATATACGGGTGAAGGAATTGGATTCCATATCTCTGATTTCTGGGGCCGAACTCTAAGGAGAAAAGAATCACAGTTGTTGTTCTCCCAGACTTTTTCTTCTGCAGTGGCTCTTGAGTAGAGGAGAGAAGAAGAGAGAGATTTCTTATAATCATCGAGGTGATCGACGGATGTAATCATCAAGCTAATAAAATCATCTGCAACTCTGTGGACGTAGGCAAATTGTCGAACCACGTAAATTTATGTGTTACGCTGTGTTTTTTCTGTTTTGTGATTTTTCTTGATCCAATTTTTTATTTTATTGTCGTTGTTTTCACAACAACTGATATTAGAGCTTTGGTTTGAGGCTGAAAGAAAACGATGGGCAAAGACGATGTGATAGCATCAGGAATCGATAAGTTTAATGACATAGATTTTGGTTATTGAATGATACAGATAGAGGACTACCTCTATGGGAAGAAACATCATTTTTCATTACTGGGAAAGAGACCGGAGAAGATGGACGAGACATAATGGAACTTGTTGGATCGAAAGATTTTAGGGGCTATTTGATTAACCTTGTCGAGATCAGTTTTCCACAACGTTATCAAAGAGATGACTACTGCAGATCTCATTGCGGCTTTATTAGATATGTATGAAAAACCATCGACGAATAATAATGTGCACTTGTTGAAAAAGTTATTAAACTTGAAGATGGTGAAATGTGTGTTTGTTATTCGATATCTTGATGATTTAAATACTATCAAAAATCAATTGTCATCTGTTAATATCACAGCAATTGTCATCTGTTGAAATTGATTTTGATGATGAGATACGTGTGTTGATATTGTTGGTTTCATTGTTAAATAGTTGGTAAGCCGTGATGATGACATTTAGAAGTTCTGCAAGTAATCCAAACTGAAATATGATGATATTTGTGATTTGATATTGCCCGAGGAGGTGACAAGAAAGATTATGGCGAGACCTCGGGCTCGAATTCGACACTGATTGTTGATTACAAAGGGATATCGTAGGACAAGAACTCAAACATAGGAAGATCAAAATCAAAGTTTGATCAGCATACAACCTGCTAGAATTGTGGCAATGTTGGCCACATAAAAAAGAACTACATGAATCATAAGAAAAAGAAGAATAATAGTGCAAATGTGGTAACTGAAGAAATACATAATGCATTATAACTATCAGTTCACTGTTCGGTTAATGACTGGATACTGGATTCAAAGACTTCATTCCATACATCTTACCACCGGGAGTTTGTGTGCAATTATGTGTAGGCAACTTTGGGAAGGTACATCTAGCTCATGTAAAAGCTCTTGACGTGATAGGGATGAGAAACGTTGATATTGCACATATAACTAAAGCAAATGGACCTTGCAAAATGTAAGACATATTCCTGAGTTAAAGAAAATCCTCATCTCTATTAGCTAGCTCAATGAGGGTGGTCAGGGTGGTCATTCGGTAATGGTCATTCGGTAATGTTCTCAGATAGCACCTGAAAGGTTACCAAAAGAGCATTAGTATTTGCTCGGGGTAAGAAAACTGACACACTATATATGAATATTGGTTTACTCAACATTGTTGCTACTACGATTACAAAGAGCACAACAGATCTGTGACATTGCAGGCTTGGTCACATGAGTGAGAGCTATAAAAAAATCTTGCAAGATGAGAATTCGAGCAAGTGAGAGTTGACCAAGAAAGACGAGATGGGTTCCTTGTCAGGGAATCAAACTTGGGAACTGTCTTAATTTTCACCAGGGAAGAAGGCATTGCACAACAAGTGGGTGTATCGAGTGAAGACTGTGTTTGATGGCAGTTAGAGATACACGGTTGGATTTGTTGAAAAGGACTTTCAACTGAGGCAGGATACAAGAGTAACCCGGGAAAAAGCTTGGAGGTACAAGGCTATGTTGATGCTGACATATCGACCGGGGGTGTTACTCTTGAGAAGTTGAAGTTATACTCGACTTTAGCTGGTCTTCTAGAATAAAGACCGGGGCTTTGAGTTGTAGAGGTGGAAGACATTACGTTTGAGGAAAAGGGCGGTGCAGCCAGTGGATGGTGCGGCTAGTGTCCCAGTCTCCAAGTGGGGGAATGGTTAAGTAAGGTGGAGTCCGGACCACTATTCCTTTTTTAGAGAATTATTATAATTACGGAATATATTTAAATGTACTTAAATATTTCCTTAATGCATTGCTGATTTTTTCTTTTGATTCGCAAATCAATTCTCCTGCCGTCTGCTTCTTCTGAATTCACAAATAAGGATTTCCTCTGTGGGCCAAAAAGGAATGTCTTAAGTGATGCTTCTAGTGCATCAATTAAAAGCCAAGATCTTCTTAATCTAGGCTTAACGTGCTACTTACGGTTTTGGAATTAAAATTTCATGGCTCTCCCTCCTCCGTTGGGTGTTATATATACGAGTGAAGGAATTTAATTCCATATATTTAGCTTCTGCGACCAAACTCTAAGGAGAAAAGAATCACAAGTGTTGTTCTCCCAGACTTCTTATTCTGCAATGGTTATAGGGTAGAGAGAGAGAAAGAGAGAGAGAGAGAGGAAGAGATAGAGTTTTATTGTAATCGTTTAGGTGATCGACTAGTGTAATGCTCGAGCTAATAAAATCCTCTGCAACTCTTTGGACGTAGGCAATTTGTCGAACCACGTAAATCTGTATGTTCAGTTGTGTTTTTTTTGTTTTGTTATTTTTCTCGATTTGTTTTTTTCTATTTATTGTTGTTGTTTTTCACAATAAGAAGGAGAAGAGCTTGGGGCTTGAGAAAAAACTTAAAACTTTTAGAATGAGTTGAAGCCCGACACCTCTCTTGCCAATATTAATCACCGCGGACAGCCATTGACCCCCACTGACTGTCATGAATCATCGTCGACCACCGTTGACCACCGTTGACCGCCATAGACTACCACCTGCTGGCCTCAACTGATTGCCCTCAATTGTTGCCCACTTCTTACAACAAGTCATTTATTTGCATATCCACGTTGTAATTCATAAGGCTTTGTAACACCTCCCTCATGTGGAACAAGAGGTCTTTATAATCATCAACTTATAATTGATTTCTTACAGCTTGGTCAGGCCTCATGGTTTTTGTCCCTTTACGAGTTTTCCACGTAAAAAAATTATGGTGTCGTTATTAGTTATTTTCTTTTATTATAGTATGTGTTGAATTCTCGTGCAACACTAAGATGATAATTCATTACGCTACAACCACAAAATTTCTGGTGCTCATTAGTTTGACGCCATCTGTGGGAAGCAAATTATTGTTCGGCATTGTCTTCAACTCAAAGACACTGAGCCCCTGCTTTGTTTTCCAATGATGTACATCATTGAACTAGCGAATGAAACTTCTTCACATCTTGAATATCATCTTCAAAACATTCTTTAATGTGAGGGGAAACCTTCACTATAGTCATAAAAGGTTGTTCGTGTTAACGTCCCAGGCATGGTTGTAGCTTGGTTGTTTCCTCACGTCTTATTTAGAAAAAGTCTTTTACAACTTTTTTCAGGCTTGGAGGCAACCTTCATTGTAGTATTGATATGTCATTCAAGTTAACATCCCGAGCAAGACTATTAGGGTATTCATCCCACATTTTGTTCAGCCAACATGGCTTTGAAAATCACTCATAGATGGAGGCAATCTTTGTCGAAAATAATGCTTTCTCAATTCCCCCTCAACGTACTAGAGTTCTTCTTTAACTAGATCAAGAAGCTAATCTCTTTAAAGCCCTATACATGTGTTATTTTACAACCCCGCGTGGAAAACACCCTCGCTGAGGGGTAATAGATTCATGAGCAGCAACTAACAAGTTGTTAAACATTATTCTTGAGTATGACTGTAATCATATTTCCAAGAAAATATACGATCCATTACGACCTACAACCCAGTCTCAAGAAATGCAGAGCATCTCTGACACCTCATTATAGGCTTAATCAATCACAGGAGACTTGATTTGAGCTATTCCGTTACTGGTTGCAGTTGTCAAGCAAAAGCTTTGAGATACAACCTCAGGTAAGTAAAAAATATTTGGCAGATTTCTGACAGCGACTTTATATATGCT